TGTTCAGATCAAGTTTCCTGGGTGCGGTTTTGCAGAACTTCCTACAAGAGCTGACTCAAGAGCTCTCTTCTATTGTGGAGTTGTTCCTGCTCTTACATGTCATACTAATTTATATCCTTGAAATTTTGAGCAGCATCATTTGGATGTGTTAAGTTGGGAATGAAGGAAGTGAAAATATTTTCAGAGGTTCCTTGAGAAAAGGATTTCTATTGCTGGGTAAATCAACGTAACCTAGATGCTGTGGCTAAGAAGTGAAGAATTCTAAGCTAACTTTTTTTTCCTCCCCTTTTCTTTTCTTTACTTTTTTTGGCCTGCCTCAACACCTCCCTGAAACCCTAGGGGCCTGTCTCTAGCCCCCAAAGGATTTTTTGTATTTTTTTTTTTTTTTTTTTTTTTTTTTAAACAGAGTTTTGTTCTTGTTGCCCAAACTGGAGTACAATGGAGCGATCTTGGCTCACCACAACCTCCGCCTCTGGGGTCCAAGTAATTCCTCTGCCTCAGCCTCCCAGGTATCTGGGATTACAGGCATGCGCCACCATTCCCGGCTAATTTTGTATTTTTAATAGAGATGGGGTTTCTTCCATGTTGGTCAGGTTGGTCTTGAACTCCCGACCTCAGGTGATCCACCTGCCTTGGCCTCCCAAAGTGTTGGGATTACAGGCGTGAGCCACTGTGCCTGGCTCAAAAATCTTTTTAAAGCTTGACGGGGCCGTGTGTGGTGGCTCACACGTGTAATCCCAGCCCTCTGGGAGGCCGAGGCAGGCAGATTACTTGAGGCCTGGAGTTTGAGACCAGCCTAGCCAACATGGCAAAACCCTGTCTCTACTAAAAATACAAAAAATTAGCTGGGCTCGGTGGCAAGCACCTGTAATCCCAGCTACGCTGGAGGCTGAGGCACAAGAACTGCTTGAACCTGGGAAGCAGAAGTTGCAGTGAGCTGAGATCACACCACTGCACTCCATTCTGGGTGACTGAGTGAGACTCTGTCTCAAAATAGAATAAAAATAAAAGCTTAACTTTGCACGCTAGAAATCTTTCTAAAACATGACACACTTCTTTGACTTCTTAAGCATATTATAAGGACTGATTATAAGCACAATGATGCCCTTAAGAGCTACTAAGGTACGCAAGGTTGCTTGTTCATAACAACAACAACAACAACAACAAACCAGATTGCTGGCTTGATTTTTCTTCTCTTTTTCTCTTTATTTCTTTTGCTGTTCCCTTCCCTCCCCACTTCACTCCCCTTCCCTTCTTTCCCTTCCCTTCTTTCTCTTCCCTTCTTTTCTCTCCATTTTTTATTTAGTTTGTTCTAGGTTTTGTTTTGTTGGTGTCAGACTTTACAGTTGTGCTATTTCCTGTTACTTTCACTTTTTTGTTGTTTTTTTAGAGTCAAGATCTTACTGTATTGCCGAGGCTGGACTCAAACTCCTGGGCTCAAGTGATTCTCCTGCCTCAGGCAGGAGTAGCTAAGACTACATGCATGTACCTCCATGCCCAGCCCCTGTTACTCTTAATTATTGTCATATAACCACCCATAATGTCCCTTCTCACTTTCTGAATTATTGCTCTCCCCATGCTGTGGCCTCTGAACCCGGAGAACCTGCTATCTACAATTATGTGTAAAGTAAAATCAACAAAGTTCTTAATGAGGATCTCCCACCTGGTTAAAATGTGCATGATCTTTGTCACATTTATTTTGCCTCCTGCAGACTTCTTAGATTCCAGCCAGGTCCCAGAAAATGGTGAGATTATTAGATGACCAAACTCTGGCTTCTGAGGGGTTAATATAGGATGATAATTGACATTCATGATGATGAGTCCGAGATGCCTACTGAATCATCATGTGTAAAATAATATTTACTGAACATGATTTAGGTTTAAAGCATTTCATGAAATTATAACCTTTGGAACTTGGTGGTTCACTTCTGAAATCTATGGCCATGTTTTGACAGATTTCAGATGAAACAAAATCTGCATTCCCAGGTCACACACAGGGACTGTATGCCATGCACTCCTGTGACAGCTTGAGTTCACCCTTGAGAGGGGAGGGTTAGAAACTAAATCCTTAACAAGCCTGTCCTGCAAGACTCAAGACTGTGCATTAGGAATGACCTGGTCCCTGCCCACCTGTCCAAATGGCCTTACCTTTTGGTTCATTCCCTTTGCTCTCTGGGGCTCTGCCAACACAGGCTACTCAGGCCTACTTTCCATTCCTTTAACACTCACTTCCTCCAGAGGCCTTTGCCCAAGAGTTCCTGCTCCCTGGAATGTTCTCCTTCCCCAGGCCCCACAACCACTGCCTGGTTTCCTCCTGCTCAGCTTAATCACACTTCCTTAGGAAAGCCTAGCTGCCCTGACAGGTCAGTTCTGCCTATTACACACTCTAGTAGTTACATGTACTTCTCCTAGGAACTAATATCTGAGTTGTAATTTTTCATTTAGTTGTATGTAGGACACATTACCTGGAGAATAGTAGGTGCTCAATAAATATTTGTTCACTGAATGGAAGGGAGGGAGCAAGGGCACTTCCGCCAGACTGACCTCCTTATTGTGGTTAACATCAAGGTGTGCCGGGAGAGCAATTTCCAACAGCTTAACATTCACTTGATTGCTGCCAAGGCCCATGGGTCTTTCCTTTCCTTTCTAGAAAAGAGTAAAATCTACTCGATGAACATTCAGCAGCATGGTGTGAAGAAATTACTGCCACATTCTGGAAATCATTGCATTCTTCCAAGCAAAGAAATAAGAGAATCTTCCCAAACAAATGTCAGAAACTTTACCACACTGTCATACATGCTGCCTGTAACATTTGTCTTTTGTTATTTTTTTTTATTTTTATTTTTTTTCTGGCTTTCATCTCAAGTGTCTCTCAAGTTTTGGCAATTTCAAGTCTTCTAGTTTCCATGGAAATAGGAAACAGTGATCTTGGAGATTAAGAGCAGGGAGATATCCACTCTAATGGGGTTCTAGAGTTTTCTTCCTTTGATAGTATTTTTGAATGTTGGTTTGGAGGCAGGCAACAAATCTTTATTTTTGTGCCTATAATGCATCAGGCATTGTTCTCTTCCAGGAATGCCTCCACCTCCATACTGCTACATTAAAGATAAATATGCTCTCCCAGATGTGGGCTCTCAGGTTTATCCTTAAGTGAAATTCAAATTGTTGAGCAGAAACTATTAGCTCTGTAGTGAGAATCTTTACCTTTTCCCTCGAGGGAAGGTAACTTCGCTCAAGCACTTCAGATATTTTATAGAGCTCTTCATGACACTCGGGTTACAAAGAACCATGGTATATCCATTGTTAATTTTATTTTTTTATTTTCTACTTCACGAGGAAATAAAAATCTCTTGACTTCCACAGCAAGAAATAAACATGTAATGTTGCTTTTTTTGTTGTTCTATAATCTTCATACTTGATAGTTGCTCATATCCACAGAAAACTTGACCAGACATACCTGAAAAACTTGAAAAATCTGAAAAAGGAAAAAAATAGTTTACTTGTCTCCTTAATAGGCAAATGTCCACGATTTTACATCCTCTCAGAATAACTTAGTTTCTTTGAGACTTTGAACCTAGAACCTGTGTGCATGTGTATGACCATGTAAGACTCAGCTTTTAACCTGTTATGTAATCTGTATTGTAATATACTACATCTCATGCCACCAGAAAGTTTGCAAGTTCCCTGAAGGACAGATATGGAAGATTATAAAACCAGCTCCTAGTTTGTCTCTGTGTGGAAGTTCAGCCTCCTGGCCTCTCCCACACTTCTTCAGGATCTGTCCTCCTGCTGAGCACCCACCTGATGGATTTCTCCCCACTGCAACCCACCCTCCTCTCCAGGACCACTTTTTCTTGCCTGTAATTCTGGCCTTAGGAATGCCCAGAGGAGATCTGTACCCAAAAAGTATATTTGAACAAGACCAAGTCTCCAGAATAAAGATAATCCCAATTTACAATTCAGCCATTAGAGATTTAATTCTTTTGCACCTTCCTGAGCCCCTTTTTAAAAAGTATGAATATCCTTTTAGGGGTTAAGATTTCAAGTCATTACCAGTTTATGCTCCCAAGGGATTCCTTAAGCTATATGCCAACCTCCAGTGGAAAATTAAATTCAGGACAGGCCTTGAAGGGTGATGCTAGGAGGAAAAGGGACACTGGGGGTTGGGGAGGACCAAATGAACTTCACTAAGGAGAGTCCATGAATTGAAGAGTCCCACCATAGACCATCCCCCGCCCCAGCTCCAATACTGGCTTTGGATAACTAAAGTCAGTTTCACTGAAATGGTGGCAGATCAGAGTAGGGCCCTAGACTCAAGCCCTAGCATCCATATCCAGGTTCTGTTTTTACAGGTCTGACACAAGATTTCACACTCTTCAATTCATGGGCTCTCTTTAACATTCCCCTTTTTCTTTTTCCCCCTTGTTCCTCCTTTGCTCCTCTGGCCTAAGTTTATCTGTGTAATTGCTTGTATGTACACGTTTTATCTGCATGTGTGAATGTCTGTGTCTGTATGCCCAGGTCTTTCTTTGTCCTGACACCAGCTTGTCTGGAAGTGGTAATCATAAAACATTAATTCAGATTACTTGTTAGATGATTTAGATATTTTCAGCTTCATTAACAGCTAATCATGGCACAATGGATTACTCAACCAGGCCTTCAAGGTGGCTAGACTAACTGGAATGATCATGTAAGGGGACTTCGGCAGGGTATCATACACACACAGCGATTATGTCTTTTGTGGAAACATGCATTTGCCTACGAACTGTCTGTGCATGTTTTTGGCAGGTCCCCCTTCTTACTCTCCATTCCGTTCCCCTCCCTAGGTTCTGCCAGATCTGCCTTCAGATTCCTCAGTCATGAAGCCTCCCAGAGAGGGGTGAGAGCTCTTTTAGGTCTAACTACACCCTGTGAGGAGTGTCCCAATATGCCCGTGGGTGAGGCAGGCAGGCCAACTGCACCCCAACAGGGTTCAGCACGAGGCTGGGAGGTGAAAGATGTGTAGCCAGAAGTCTTGGAAAGGCGCCACTGGGGACATAGCCAGGTAGCTTGCCACCCTCAGAAAAATGCTCCTGTTACCTGCAAAACAAATTAGCGTCAGTGACAGAAGTGTGACCCTGGGGCCGAAGTTGTATGTGACCTCTTCCTCCAACCACCGAAAATATTCTGGTGGGTATGGGGGTCTGGTTGGTATGGGAGAGTATGAGCGCACTTGCCCGCTGCCACCCCACCATAGACAACCATCCACCCCCGCCCCACCCCAAGCTCCAACACTGGCTTTAACTAACAAAAGTCAGTTTCGCTGAAATTGACAGCAGATAGGAGTAGGGCCCTAGACTCAAGCACTTGCAGCCAAATCCAGGTTCTGTTTTTGCAAGTCGGACACAAACCACTAACTCCTCTGGCCTCACAAAGTGCTCTGTGGGTAGGAGTAGCCCTGCTTGCCCTTGACAGGGACCACTTTCAAGGGCCGGTTGGATTTGTCAGGGGTTTTCTCTTAACGTTTGTCAATGACCATTGTCAGGTGTTGCTAGGGTTGCAGGAGAAAGGTTTCACTTGATTGGCTAAGCGACCGTATTCCTTAACCAATCCAAACGCTCTGCCTGGGGGAGGGGACTTAACAAGATACAACAATATCAAGCACAGGCAGACGCATTCCGTGTACTAATAAGGCGTCTGGAAAAATGGAATTACAGTGTGCAGGAATCCCATGCCCCTCTGCAGCTCCAGCCATGGCGTGGTTGCTGTTAAAAATGTTACAGTGTAAGTTAAAGTCATTCCCATTGATTGGAGGACATCAAGATTTCAAAACAGGGAGTAGCAATTGGAAGGAGGAAGTAAAACTCCTTGCTCATTGTGTTTTACAGCCTTCCTTAGTAAAACTGCTGAATTGTAATTTAAAATATTCCACCCTTTCAAATAAATTAAGTGCAGCCCTTAAAAAACAGGAAATGAGAGAGGCGCACACGTATTGTCGACTAAACATTCACAGACCTTGTACCACAAAGCAAAGTTGAAAATCAGAGAACAGTCCTATGAATTCATTTTAGAGTGATGCCAACAAAGGTCCCCATCAAGGGAGGTGTTATGCCTCTGGCAGTGCACTCTTGGGCTGAAACCTGAATGCTAATTAGGAAACAAATGAAAGACAAATATCAGCTTGAAGGGAAATTTGGATCTTGCAAGATCATAGATATTCAGAGATTCAGATAAACCTTATGGTACTAAGAGCTATGGTAGCAATGGCTGAACCCTCCCTTCAGAAAATCTAACGGCAGGTAACCCAGATGTTTCTACTGAACTCTGGTAAATCAAAGAAAAGCATCCCCCTATAATTCATTTCCTCTATCGAACCCTTCTGCCCATGAAGGACTCCATAGTCCAGCTAAAGAGCTTGAGCTTAGTTTCAGGCTGAAATGGTTTTGGGGGGGGGTTCTGCATTTTACTTTATATACATTTTGAAGTAAATGAGAGAAAAGGATAAAAGATTTTGAGACTGAATTCTGAATAGTTCCCTCTCCCACCTCTATTGGTATAAAAGACAATATTCATGAGCAGAAAATGATGTTTGAGGAGGGCTGGCAACAGGACTTCCCTAACAGTTGCACAGAAAGTAGAGCTTCACAGTCCTCCCCCACCACATTCGGGTACCCGCTTAATGCTGCCCGCACTGCAGGCCAGTGGAACCCACCTCAATTAGACTTTGCCCTGGATCTCCAGTACCTTAGTGGAAACACCATAATAGCAGGAATTATTATTCCAAAGGGGAAGAAACTTGAAGAGTTTAGTTAATTCTTTGGTTGCATGTGATGGTGAATACAGATATTTGTGCTGTTGGCAACATCTTAGGAAGTGATTTAACCCACTTGCATAGCCAGACATAATTTGTCATGTGGCCCTGTGATTTTAACCCCATTGATTTCTCCCTTATGATTGCTTCCATCAGGTTTGTGTGTTAATTACTTAGGACACATCTTTATTTCAGAGGTCTCGAAGTCCTGCTTGACATTTCTAACTTAAAACCTAGACTTCTCCATCCCTGAACTTACCTGCTCTCTTCAGGAACAGATCCAGGAGGCCACAAAACTAACCACCCACCTCTAATCTTCCTACTCAAGCAGTTGGACCTGGGCTGGTGTGTTACGAAACTCACCATTATGCTAGATCCCTTCCCAGCCTGGCAGGCACACCCACACAGCCACCAGTGAGTATTCCCTAGGGTTAGAACAGTCCAGGGCTTTGTGAATTGGTAGTCTCTTCATCTCTTATATTTCAACATAACTTCCAATGAGAATCATACAGTTAGTTTTGGTTTATAAAAGTCTACTAAATCAACAAAAAACAAAAACTTGGCCACTAATTTCAATCTGCAATCAAACAGCAGTTCATTCATTTAAGTTCCATCCCTTTCTTTTCCTAAATCAGTCTCTAATAAAGGGGGGGGGGATTTTTAATGATAAAAAGTAGAAAACTGAAGAAGCAAAAGGCCCAAGATACCCCACAAATAAAGAAGCAGTTGCAGACCATTAATGATCACTAGGAGGAGACGGAATCACAGAAAGAGGTACTCAAGGGAGTTTGAAAATTTGAAAGACCACATTCAGCCTGAACCCTCAAGAAAGTGTCTAAGAGAAAGTAGGCCAAAACAACAATGAAGTTAGGGTGAAAAAGATGTGAGTTTAGTTTTCAAAATGTCATGTCTGTATTGAGTGTCCTTTTTGTTCGAACAAGAAACAAAGAGAGAAATCAAACAGCTTCACTGACAAGCAGAGCAGCTGGCAAAGAGACCAGGGTAAAATCTTGGGAAACCCTTTAATGTGTAGCCTAAAAACAACTCTAAAGAATCGCTATATCCCTTCAGTAGATCTCTGTTTTCCCAAGTCCTGTTTTCTTCATTTTGCCCCATGTCATAACTGACACCTGGGTCTCTCTGTGGATTTCTTTCTTTGAATGTTTTTAAAGCTTCTGGGGAGTCTATTTTTTATTCATTCATGCCATATATTAAACTATTTAAAATATGATCTCCCAATAACATATGCTTATTAAAATAATACATTTATCCTGCTCATAAGCATAAAGGCTGACTTGATTCCAGAACAAGGCCATGACCGGGTAGTTTTGCCTGTGGTGACTCCTTCCAGCCATCAAAACAGAAAGCTTCTTATTATAAAACAAAGTGAAAAGGGAGGTCTAGAGTTGGATTCATTCTCTGGGGCTCTTGAGAGTGTAAACAGTTCACAAGGTTTTCCTCAGTTGTTCCCAGTATGTACGGACATGGATGTTTCTTTAGGCAAACACTTCTATTACAGTGACCACAGTGAAGCTTTGGATTATCTTGAGCTTACAACACATTTTGTGAACACCATTTATTAAGATCAATGTGCTTTGTTTAGGCCACCGAGAGCCATAACCACAAAAAAAACTGATAAATTAGATTTAAACAAAATAAAAAACCTGTCATGAAAAGAGACCATTAAAAAACAAATAGTCAAGATATAGACTGGAAGAAATTATTTACAAAACATAAACTTGACAGAGGACTGATATCCAGGGTATATAAAGGACTCCCACTTATTAATAAAGAGAAAATTTTTTTGAATGGATGAAAGACACTTTACCAAAGAAGATATATAAATGGCAGATAAGCCCATGACAACGTGCTCAATATCTTTAGTCACTGGGAAAATGCAAATTAAAACCTGAATGAAGTATCACTACCGCCAGGATGGTTTAAAATATAAAGAATGAAAACACTAAATGTCAGCAAGGATGTGGAGCAACTGGAACTCCTATACATTGTTGATATGAATATAAAATGGCACATCAACTTTAGAAAAAGAAATAGCATTTTCTTCAAAAACTAGATATATACTAGCTGTGATCCTGCAATTACATAAGTAGGTCTTTTCCTAAGGGAAATGAAAACATATGTTCATCAAAATACTTGTATAAGAGTGTTCATAGCAGCTCTATTAGTAATAGTCAGAAACTGGATACAGCCCAGGTATCCATCAAGAAGAGAATGAATGCGCAGGGGCCCAGCACGGTGGCTCACCCCTGTAATCCCAACACTTTGGGAGGCCAATGCAGGCAGATCACTTGGATCACTTGAAGTCAGGAGTTCAAGACCAGCCTGGCCAACCAGGTGAAAACCCTGTCTCTACTAAAAATGCAAAAAATAACCAAGTGTGTTGGTGGGTGCCCGTAATCCCAGCTACTCAAGAGGCTGAGGCAAGAGAATCGCTTGAACCCACTTGCAGTGAACTGAGATCACACCATTGCACTCCAGCCTGGGCAACAGAGTGAAGCTCCATCTAAAACAAAACAAAACAAAACAAAACAAAAAACAAGAAGGAGAGAGAGAATAAATGTGCAAACTGTGGTTTAGTCATACAATGGAATACTACTCAGCAATACAAAAGAATGGGCTACCACTGTTCACACAATAACATGAACAAATCTCAAAAAATTATGCTGAGTGAAAGAAGTCTCACACAAAGAATTCAACCTATTTGACCCTTTCACATGAAATTATAGAATAGACAAAGCTAATCTGTGGTGAAAAAAATCAAAACAGTGGTTGCCTCTGGGTTTGGGAAAGGGATTAGGAACAAGGATTGACAGGAAAGATAAATGAGGGATCTTCCCAGGTGAAGACGATATTTTATATCTCAGTAAGGGTTTGGGCACACAGGGATATATTTGTCAAAACTCTGAAACTGGACACTTAGTGTTAACAGTTTAAAATCTGTAAATTTCATACCAAATGAAAAAAGTAAATACCAAACTGAAGTTTTAAAGTAGATATTGGTGGATGCCTACAATTCACTTTTAAACACATGAAAAAATAAGATGAATTAATGGAGGAGGGGTGTATAAATATGTGATAAAGCAAGAAGAGTCAACTATTAATAGCAGAATCTACAACTAGATCGTGGGCATATAGGTGTTCACTGTAAAATTCTTTTAATGTGGTGCATATTTGAAAATACTGATAACAAAGCACTGGGAGGAAATCTATGTGCTCTTGCGACCCATGAACCGTCTTCAAGTGCTTGGTAGATCTGAATGCTCTATTTTTTAATGCTCATACTAGCAGATTATAAATAGAGAAGATGAAGGCTGGAATTGCAAAAATTTCATATCTGAATTATTTTTCTTTTCAAATCTAGCCTTTCATACTTTTTTATTTCAGTAGGCAAAAGAAGCCAGGAAGCGGTTATTATGAGAGGAAAAGAGAAGGGAGAGATCTGTGACCCTAAAAACAACAACAACAACAAAATTCCTACTGTAAAATATTGAATATCAAGAGCAGGCACACACTGCAGACTTATAGAATGAAAAAATTAATGAAAACACCAAGACTGCATCCTCAGAACCACGGAGGAATGATAATTACAGACAGTATTTCTGGAGCAGACACATAACCTTGATTCCCAGGATACCCCCTAAAGCACTCTAATAGTATGCTATTTGTGGAAGGTTTTTCCACCTTTAATAACAGAGAAATAATGTTAGAAGGAAAGAAATCCCTTATTTAGCCACTGGAGTGTCATTATTGAGCCCCAGCTGAAGGCCCCCTTAAAAGCATCCATATGGTAAAAGAACATGTTTCCCTACGAAATCAAAACTGAGTACATCTGAGACTTTTGAACATCTTTTTCCTTGGATCTTAAAATGGATTTGTGCATATTTGTGAAAAAAAATTTTATGATGTGCTATCTTCCAAAGTGAATGGTTATTTATAATTCATAAAAGACCTGAGCACAGGAAAAATTTTCCCTTTTATTAGCCCTGTAAAGTTAGACCAGCTGATCTTTTAGTGCATATTACAGACATCAAATTCTCTGTGTGGTTGAAGGTTCTCTTTTCAAACTTAATGCAAGAGGCAGTGCTACTGAATCTGCTGTTCAAAAGCTGGTGGGGTCCACATCTCTTTTGATTAAATGTTAAATAAACAAAACATCACTCTCAGAGATGGTCTCTGAAGACACAGAAGGGAAAATACTTGGAATGCTAAACATACTTTTTAAATCTTGAACAGCCTTTTGTAAAATACAGCAACGTATTTTCAAATGGATTTTCTTTTCTGTCTGCAGCGTTTAACCAGTCTTCGTACACAGTTGCCACATCATTTCCTTTCAGCTGCTGCAGGCTACTTGTGAGTCAGAGTACTGATATCATGAGCAGGAATGACCTGGGTGGAGGAATAGGGGCACTGGGGATTTGGATGCATGACAGAAGCCCCAATGCCAAGGGCTTCCATCCAGCTGCACCTGCGCATCCCCTGCCAGTCATCCCCCACCAGCAGTACCCCGCCAGTCATGATATCACAGAAAGTTATTTCCTTCAAGGAATCCAAGTTTCTTAGGTCACCCTGCCAGGGTCACATCCACCCTGTTTACTGGTGTGTCACATACCCACATAAGAGAGTTGCACAGAAGTTTTAGAAATCTAAGTTAAATCTAAAAATAGCATGTTTTTGCTTCCTTTGAAGTACCTTGCCTTTGAATATTCCAGCTGAGCCTTGTAAGCTCCCTCATAAAACTATATGAAGATAGATATTTTTTCTGTATCCTGACTTTTTTTTTTTTTTTTTTTAAGATAGAGTTTCTCTCTGTTGCCCAGACTGAAACGCAGTGGCATGATCTCGGCTCACTGAAATCTCCACCTCCTGGATTTAAGTGATCCTCCTGCCTCAGCTCCCCCAGTAGCTGGGAGTACAGGCGTGCACCACCACGCCCTGCTAATTTTTGTATTTTTAGTAGAGTCAGGTTTTGCCATGTTGACCAGGCTGGTCTTGAACTGCTGACCTCCAGTAATCCATCTGCCTCGGCCTCCCAAAGTCCTGGGATTATAGACGTGAGCCACCATGCCCAGCCAAATATGGATTCTTAACTGCCAAAAAGCCAACTCACTTATGAAACAGGATCCTTGGCCAGAAAGAATTGCTTCATTCTCTATTCTACAACCTACTCCTGCCCCGGTTACTGACAATAATCAGTGGCTTT